TCTGTCTCTCTCTGTCTCTCTCTCTCTCTCTCTCTCTCTCTCTCTCTCTCTCTCTCTCTCTTTCTGTTATTTAGAGATAAGTGTAGATTGTTCTCAGGCTGCTTATATGGAAAGCATTCTAAGAGTTTGATTTCACTTCCTTTGGGGACACCTGTGATATTTATACTGAGAATAGAGATTGGGCACAGAAATTGTATCTATAAAAGATGACTAGGATATGTTTTTCTTTAAAAATGTGGTTAGAGGGGGCCGGGAAGACAGCTCAGTAGAATAAGCGCTTGCCTGGCAAGTTCAAGGGCCTGAGTTCAATCTCTGGTTCCACACACACACACAAAATGTGGTTAGATATACGTGTTTTATCACATAAGAAACAATTATTGCATGAATGATTGCTGAAGTATTCTTGTCCCAGAGGGGTTGGTGGGAGCAGATCGCTGCGTTTTGAGTGTTGAGGTGAACGCGAGGTGAAGATCCGTTGGTGGCCCCGGATCTGTGTACACCGCTCAGCTAGACCACCGGACTGTCTTGGGTCCCCTGGCAGTGTCTCCGGGCAGTGAGCGGGGCATGTTTTGGGCTTGCCCTATTTATTTTCCTTCGTTCTGGATCAGCATCCTGTGCTTCCTGTTGTCCAGCACCTGAGTACAGCCGCTTCCCACTCTGCTCCGGTGTGAGTTGTGGGTTTTGGTGCCGTTATCCCCACATACCCTGTAGTTCTAGTTGTTTGTGGTGGGAGAAAACTTCCTGTGATGCCCATCCTTCATAGATAGTTTTTTTTTTTTGTTGTTGTTGTTTAAATTTTTTTTAACATTTATTTATTTATGTGTGTGTGTGTGTGTGTGTGTGTGGTCAGCTCAGTCCACCAGGGGGCGGGCTGGCTGGCATGTGGTGCTGGGGGATTGAACCTCAGTCCCTGTGCTTTGTTTAGCTAAGCTTGTTCTAAGTAGGTGCTTTAGACCACTGAGCCATCTCACCAGCCCCAAAGAGATTTTTTTTTTTTTTTTTTTGTGGAACCAGGGATTGAACTCAGGCCTTTGTGCTTGCCAGGCAAGCGCTTATTCTACTGAGCCATCTCCCTGGCCCCATAGATAGTTTTCTTAAGGCTTTTGTTGTTGTTGTTGTTATTGATACAAGGTCTTGCTGTGCAGCTCCGACTCATAATGATCCTCCTGTCTCAGCCTCCCCAGCGCTGGGATTACAGGTGTGTGCACCACGCCTGGTTTCAGGACTGGCACAGCATGCCCAGGGTTCTGGGGCTGGCACATGCTTTGCAGTGCTGGGAGTCGAATTGGGATCTTTGCACTTGCCAGGCAGGCCTCATGCTGCCGAGCTACCTCCACAGCCCTTTCTCAGGAATCTTAGTTGTTCTGATTGAGAAAGACGTTTAGGGTGTCTGCCCCGCAGGGAGCTAGAGAGGGAAGCTGGAGCTCCTGCAGTTACCTTCCTTCAAAGATTCCTTGCTCCCTCCTCATCTTGGCAGGAGGCTTCTTATGACCCCGCAGAGGTTTGTCTGTTCTTCTTTTGAGTTTTAGAGAGTCCTGTTGGTAACACCAGCAGTGCTGGTGCTCCAGAACATCCTCAGGTCAGGGGCAGAATGTCCTGGTTGCCCGGGCATGTACCAGCTGGTGCAGTCCCCGTGTCCACAGCCACAGGAGCTGGGCGTGGGGAAGGATGTGTGGAAAACTGATCAAGGTCCCCCAAAGATGGCTGCATCTATGTTTGTGTCTGGGTGTTCCCTCAAAGCCTCAGGCAGTCATGGGGTGTCAGCTTTATGGAGGTGGCTGAATCTGTAGAGTTTGTGGTTAACTCATGGTCTAACGCTGAGATTAAGGGTGCACATGCTACCCCAGCTCTAGGGCAGGTCACCTCATACAGTACAAGGGGTAGAGAGGGCTCGCTCCCTGCTCCTCTCATTTCTTTTGCTGTCTTCTGCTGCCATGAGTGGGTTTGCCCCTGTGCCATGTGCCACTTTGCCCTGGAATTGCCCATTGTGGACAATGGGCTGTGCGCTCAGTAAGCTTTCGTCCTCCTAGTTGGGGTGTTGGGCATTTCTCAGCAATGAGAGAAAAGTAAGACAGGCGACATCTGCAACCTGCAAGCACTCTGTGTTGCCTTTGGGACAAATACAGTATATCGCTCTATGGAACTTTGCAGATGACACTGATTTAGGGACCTTGCGGTGCAGAGACTCCCTCAATCACACAAGGGCCTCATAAGAGGGAGATAAGGGTGCCGCAGCCAACAAGGTGACGTCTCAGCGGAGGCAGAGGGGAGCGGGAGGTCAGAACACGCTGTGCTGCTGGCTTTCAAGATGGAGGAGGATGCCTTGAGGAGTGAAAAATCAAATCTCTGTTTTTCTGGAACTTCTGGAAAAAACATGCCTTGCTGATTTATTTTAGAGCTTAGTATCTCTGGTACTGTAAATGAGTATGTCTGTATTTTAAGCCACAAAGTTTGTGGTAATTTGCTACAGCAGCAGTAGAAGAGAAATACAGAATAGCTCTGAAAGGAAAAGTGTGGCGACGTTGAACTCCGAGCGAATGGGCCCAGGCCAGGCAGAGCCAGTGCGTGTCCCCCGCCCTCCTAGGCTTTCTGTAATCAAGGTTTTCATATTCTACAACTTTTGAGCATCGTCATTCAGGTAGAACAGTGTGAGGGGTGTCCCCTGGAGGAGGGCACCGTGGAGGCCATGCAGCCTGGCTGAGTTAATAGAGCAGAGCACCTTGGATAACGTCTGGTACAGAAAGGTCAGTTGTTCACCCATTGTCACTGTCGCCATTATCAACGCACTTCTTCCTCCCCCTTCTGAATTAGTTTCCTCAGTTGCAAGGTGAGAAGGTTAAACCCCCAAATGTGAAGTTCCTTCCTGTGCAGCATTCTATAATCTCATGGTTCTGTGACTCTAAAACTGGCTTTGACTAGTTTAAGAAGTGCCACATCACACATTTGATATTAAAATCATTCTATTTGCAGTCTGAGGGAAACAGAAAACTACATCCAACTTAGAAACTTGAGTAGCTCTCTCCCTTTGCACCGATTTTAATTCTCGTGGATGGCAGTGCGATTTATCAATATGTTCCAAGAGGATATGAAAACCTAACATTTGCATACATCATTTGCAGTCAGTTCCTCAACTTTAGCTCCCAATCAAACCCTTAAATGCATTTTTCTAGATTAATAGTCAGACCTGGAGGAACTATATTAACAGATAGTTCAGCTTAAAAACCAATATAAGGGGGAAAACTATTACAGAAGTCAGAGGGATGAAGAGAGAGATTGAAATCTCACAGTCCCTCATTTTTCAGTGGTTAATATTGCCTACAAGTGCTGGGATTAATTATCTTGGAATCATTACGTATACACTGGTCCAGTCGTTCAAGGAAACATATTTTGACTTATTGCCCTGCAGGGTGAGCTTGCGTTTTCTGGGTTCCAGTGGCAAGGACAATTTAATACCACATCCTCAAAGTAATTTTGTTTGAATTGTACTTTTGCACTTTCATTTTAAAATGGGACTGCCTAATACTTGGGGAGCTCAAATTGCTCTGAGTCAACTAGTGAAATCTGATTGTGAAGACTTAATAAGAAAAATTCAAGATCTATCCTGAGTCTTCATCTTTTCCTGTAGCCAAACATCCTCATGGTAAGGGTATGGGTTCTGGATTCTGACAGTCTGGGCTTCAATTCTAGAACCAGTATTTTCTGGCAGTGTGCCATGCTTGTTTAACCCCTCTCGGTGCCTCAGTTGTTCATAGCCATCCACCCATCCATCCATCCGTCCGTCCGTCCGTCCACCCATCCACCCACTCACCCATCCATCCATCCACTCCCTTCCCACACACCCATCTAACCCTCAGTGAAAGGGTGTTAATGTTGATTAATACTGATACTTACTGTTAACACTTAGGGTTGTGTAGTGCCAGCATGCAGAACGCATTCAACAAGCCTTACTGTTACTATTTTGTAGGTATACTCTTCTTTTGTTAAAAATACTTACATCTTGGAAGGGCATTCTTGAGACTCCCCTGTAGTAGCTGTGAGCTTAGCAGTCACTGAAGGGACCTTAATAAAGACACTGATCAGTTAGATTTATAGAAATGCAGGAAATCTCCTTGGGACCAGCCCATCCTGTGAAGGCGGAAGAGTGATGCTTCTTCAAGGGAGCACATACATCCGCTGACTGCCACAAGTCACTCATGCACATGTACATCCAATCATTCACTCACTTTAGTCTTTATGGGATTCCCACAATGCAGCAGGCTTCATGGTAGATGCCTGGGACAAATGGCAAGTTCTCTAGATGTGGTCCTTGTAGAGGGGAGTCTACTGGTGATACAGACAAAAATGTCGGTGATGATGATGAACAAGTTTTAAGAATTGGGGTAAGTGATAAACGAAATGGACCGGATACTCCTAGGAATCATGGGGAAGGAGTCAGAACCAGCAGGGTCCAGGGCACAGTCTTCTCTGAGAAGGTAGTGCATCAGTGGATGTGATTTTTAGTACCAAAGTACTCCCTGGAATTGAAGAATGAGAGCATGTATGTTTCTGTCGAAAACAGGAGGCAAAATTCCTTCTAGCTGAGCTGGTCAGGGAAAACTTCATGAAGGAGGTGATACAGAACGTAAATATACAAGCATGGCTAGCCTGTGACACTTGGCACAGAGGGGCATCTCCGATGGAGGGCGGCTGAAGCAAGGGCAGGGACAGGAAGCTGGTGGGCCTTGTTGGAAAGTTCTGGAAGGAGACTGGACATATTTGGGTCCCAATGCAGAAGAACTTGAGTGTCCAAAATGTTTGAAAGTAACAAAACCTTCTGATGGAGATAAAGAAGAAGCCATTTCTCGTTTTCTGTAGGCCAAATCCATCCTGCAAGGGTTCCTACAGGATTCAGGCCGCGGCATCCAAGATCTGAAGAGCTTTCACTTAGTAGGACTTGGTGCCACTCTGTGTGCTATGAATGCCACCGACATCCCACTTATAAAGATCTCAGAATTCAGGTAGTAAAAATACTGGTGTGCAAAATGAGAGATGATCCACTCACCCGTCCACCCACCCACTTATCCATCCATCCACCCACCCATCTACCACCCACTTATCCATCCATCCATCCATCCATCCACCCATCTACCACCCACCCATCCATCCATCCATCCATCCATCCATCCATCCATCCATCCACCCACTTATCCATCCATCCATCCATCCACCCACCCACTTATCCATCCATCAATCCACCCACCTGTCCACTCACCCACTTATCCATCCATCCATCCATCCATCCACCCATCCACCCACCCACTTATCCATCCATCCATCCATCCATCCATCCATCCATCCATCCACCCACACACTTATCTATCCACCCATCCATCCACCCACCCACTTATCCATCCATCAATCCACCCACCTGTCCACTCACCCACTTATCCATCCATCCATCCATCCATCCATCCATCCACACACTTATCCATCCACCCACCCACTTATCCATCCATCAATCCACCCACCTGTCCACTCACCCACTTATCCATCCATCCATCCATCCATCCATCCATCCATCCATCCATCCATCCACCCACTTCATCCATCCATCCATCCACTCACCCATCCATCCATCCACTATCCTCCCACACATCCATCTATGCATGCATCCATCCATCCTTCCATAAAACTACTCTTCCACCTATCCACTCATCCATCCATCCATCCTTCCATAAATCCAGCCTTGCATCTATCCATCCATCTACCCACCCATCATCCATCCATCCATCCACCCACCCACTTATCCATCCATCCGTCCACCCACCTGTCCTCTCACCCACTTCATGCATCCATCCATCCATCCATTCATCCATCTATCCATCCATCCATCCATCCACCCACTTCATCCATTCATCCATCTACCCACTCACCCATCCATCCATCCACTACCCTCCCACACATCCATCTATGCATCCATCCATCCATCCTTCCATAAATTGACCCTTGCATCTATCCATCCATCTACCCACCCACCCACCCATCCATCCATCCATCCATCCATCCATCCATTACCCACCCACCCATCCATCCATCCATCCATCCATCCATTACCCACCCATCCATCCATCCATCCATCCATCCATCCATCCATTCATCCCACCCTCTGTCCATCTTGTATTCACCATTTTTTGATGCTTTGGCTCTTTCTGGGCTAGCACCAGAGTGGGATTTGCTAGATTATATCTCAGTGCTGAGCCTACTTACCTTATGGTTTTTGGTTGGAGATTACCCCAAGAGCATATTATATTCCTTTCTCTTTAACAAGAAGGGTGGTGGCCAGAATTGGGAAATTACTCTGCAGCAACCACATCTTGGCTGAATTTAAGAGGAAGGCAGAAATTGTGTTTGGGAAGCCCACTGAATGGACCAGCTCTGTCTTGCAAGAACTTGGGACAATTGCAGGTAAGAGGTCTGCAGAACATACCTTTTCCATCTTAAATCTAGCACTAAAGTGAAATAAAACAAAATAATAATCCTTGGCTACATACACACATCTATGGAGTTACTATAGCCTAGACTTGAAGTTGCACAAAGTAGAGTCTGCAAATATGCTTTTAAAATAATCTTTCTGAAGGTTCTTGTGCATGCTACAGTTTGAAAAGCACTGGTATAGAGTGTGATTTAATTGGCCTCTAAGTAGATTTATACACAATCTTAAAGTGTGTAAATTGAAACTCCTCCTGGGCATACAGCTCCCTGCAGGAGGCCAATCAAGGCTAATGTGACCCACATATTTTTCTGAGTTGATTAAGGAACTTGATTCCCCTGTGTGGTTTTCTGGGCCTTTTGTAAGGAACGATGATTGTCTGGGACATGCAGATCGGTACATTATGCAGCACCATTAATAAAACAAGTAGAGTTCTGATAGCTTGAACTAAACCCTCATGATTCTCTTCTCTCCCCAGCTGGATTAAGTGAGGCAGAGCTCCGAATGCTCGACAAGGAATTGATGCCGTATTTTCAGCCGTCAGCAATAAAATGCCTTCCTGATGGGGTGTTCAAAGTAGGTGCTCAGATCCTCCGGGATAGATTGAGCAGGGTGCATTTCAGGTCACGTGGGGAAGTGGGGAACAGGTCTTGGCGTCTTGGGGCTCACCCCTGCCTCCTTGTAGGGCCAGGGGACAGCTCTGTGCCCACAGTGGATTGCCACAAGGTCATTTTAGGTGTTTTAAAAAGTTTTAAAAACTGCTTGTGTTTTAATAACATTTATTTTTATGGTCACCTTCTTTTGATAGCACAGTATGCTGACTTTCTATTTATAGTGGTGTGATAGGTTTATAAAGGCTTTCTTTAAACCCCCTGGGGACAGATGTATTCAGGATAATTCTTCACATTTTCAAAAGATCACCCCATGTGTGTACTATACGTACCTTAGCACCTCTAGTAGTGTCTGAAGTAACTGTAAGTGAATGCATTAATGTTTTTGTGAGGAAATTTGCAGCAAGTCACACTAATTGGAATAGATTAAAAATAGCTTCACATCAATTCAGGTCAAAGTTTGCTAGTAAATAAGTTTGTCTTAAACTTTGGAGGGGGGAAGTGCCAGTTTTTGAACATCAGATTAGCTGATGACAGAGTGTGGAGCTTTCTAATGTTTTCTTTTAGGTACAAATATTATGGTTGAGTTAAAGAAAAGTGTTAGGCAGATCACCATAGGACAGATGACTAATTGGTGTGGAGAAACTGAAAGGGAGAAAGTGGGTACGCTGAAGTGAGGGAAGCAGGGTGTTCATTGCGAGACCCTGGCTTCCCGTCCAGGTACAGCACTGGGAATGTTTGGGTGGGACAGCCAGCTCTGATGTGGAGGACCCTGGTGTCCTGAGTAATGTGGGGATGCATTCCATCCACCACCCCTGGATAAGGCGCCCACGCCCGTGCTGCCAGGTTACTGGATCATTTAAAGACTGACAGCTGACAGAGAGCAGTGTCAGCACCCTGGACAGCTCCCACCCACTCGCAGGTGTGCCCATTGCTGAGGTGGAGAGCAGGTGTCCGCGCAGCCTGGCCAGTTCCCGCTTCCCTTCTACGGTCGTTCTGCTTGGGACAGGCAGCGTGGCTTTAGTATTTTCTAAGCACTTATCCTTGGTCTCATTTGGAGGACAGTTGTGGGTGCTTCACTGTTAAGGTATTATCTGTTCCAGAGAGACCAACTGAGAGCCTGCAATGTCTTAGGCCCCGTGTTACAGGTACTTGGGATCTGGCACTTGGGATCTTTGGTGAAGACATTATGATAGTGACTTCAGGGGCCAGGAAGGTAACAGAAAGAATGTAGCAGGCTGGGCGGGACTGAGGGGAAGGGAGAGCCCTGTTAACATGAGGAGGCTGTTTCTCATCTCTGGCGCCTTGATGTGCTGTGATCCTGAGGTCCCAGTATTGCTGGACCTTATTTTTCTCTTAATAGGGGCAGCCAGGAACCTTCATTTTCATGTGAAATCTCTTGATAATTAAATGTTGGCAGCCAATTTGAATTCATTTTTGAAAACACAGTAGGCCTAGAGATTTAATCTGGCCCATGGGTCATAGGGCAGTTTGGAAAGATAGTTATTTTTTATAATACAGACTCTGTTAATGGTAGATATAAACCTCTCTCTCTCTCTCTCTCTCTCTCTCTCTCTCTCTCTCTCTCTCTCCCTCCCTCCCTCCTCTCCCACCCCTCCCTCCCCTCCCTCCTCTCCCTCCTCTCTCTGAGATGAGGAGGAGGTGAAATTCTATCTTGGAGGACAGGTAAACTAGGCAGAAAGAAGGGATCACATTTCTAGGCAGAAGGGAGTCTGGAAGGCGGGGCGCCTGGGAACTGTGGACTCAGATGCCCATTCTCCTAGAGTACGGTCCACAGGGGTGAAGCCGGGAGGGAAGTAGCCAGAGATCGAAGGGACCACCAATACCTTCAGGAGCATGAGTTATATCGGGGAAGCATCTCCCTGGACAGTAGAAGAGGGTGACTGAGAGAAGAGGAACAGATGAGATTATAAACATAATAGTTCTCAGATTAAGGGGGAACTCAAAATCAGAGTGAAGTTAGAGGCCAGAACCCTGTCATCCCATCTTATCCACTTCCGCAGGAACTAGTCCCCAGGCCCTTTGACACTGGTCAACCTCAGAAAGCATCTTGTTCATGGCCCTCAAGGATAGTGTGCCCAGCAGGCTTTCCCACTTGTGGCTGGTGGGAGACACGGCCACCAGGTCGCTGTGCGTTTCCTCCTCTGAGCCCCAGAGGCATTCGTGGCCTGCTTCTCAGGCCATCATGCTGAGGCATCTGTACTGGCATGGGTGATGAGTTTTCTGAGCCATCTCACAGGTAACCCCAGAGCTCAGAGAGGCTTCGTGGCCTGCCCAAGTCCGCACAGCGGTGTGTGGCAGAACTGGGGCTCAGTCAGGGCCGCGCCACTCAGGCTTGTGCTTTTGCTGCTACATCGTCGCTTTTCCGGATGGGGACCTGAAACACCGGAAAATTGCTTTGTGTGGGTTAAACAGCACTGTCCCAGAGCGAGAAAATCACGATCTCCTTTTCAGTGGTCCCTTACTGCCGCACACTTCCGGGAGAAAGCCTTACTTAGGAGCTAGGATGTTTTACAATGACTTTTAACCTTTCTCAGTTCCCCTGCCTTTTCATTTGAAGAGGTGAAGTATCCAAACATTACTGGTCAGCAGATCTAGCAGGAATTCAAATATACCGCTTTCTTTTGACTTCTATGTAGGACTCGCTTATGGCCAGTCTTGCTGCTTTTCCATGTTTGGAAGTTTGTGGGTTCCCCTGTATATGCATTTATGTAGTGAAAGCGCGCTCTGAGGTTAAAGGCCCGTCTTAGAGGCGCCCAGACAGCTCTAGCGGAGGCAAGGCTGTGCAGCTTCGGGGCAGACCAGGCTTGGAAACCCAGCGAGGGTCCGCCCTGAGGCCTGCCCCTTTCCCTCCGCAGGCGCTGTCCGTGGAGCAGATCGCGTCCCTGGGACCTGGGAACGCGGCGGCCGTCACGCTCGCCCAGAGCCGGCAGCTCAGCGCGCCGCAGCTGCACGGCCTCCAGCGGGCGCGAGACGGCGCCAGGCTCCTCTCCCGGGAGGACGCGCCCTGGAGCGCCGGGCCCACCCCGGCGGCCGCCGCCGCGTGCACCCCGGGTGAGCAAGCCGGCCGCGGGCTTCCCTCACCCTTCCGGAACCTTGGTTACCTGCAGGGGTGGGCGGGAGGGCGCTACAATCCGAACAGGGTGTCTAAGAGTCTTTAGGGGTCTGCGCGCAGGCTCTGAGGTAACCTTCAAGTCCCTCCCTACCCAGCTTCCCGCAAGCAACTCTCGCTCTAGCGGCACTTTAAAGTCACCTGGGAGAGAGAAAATCACATTTCCCTGGAATGCGTTGAAGCAGAATCTCTGAGGATTAAATTCAGGGGCTTTCCACTGAAAAGCCATTTCCGTGGCTCCTTTGCACCCTCTCGCCTACTGGCCAGTATTAATTCAACTAACATACATTGGACAATGTCTTGGTTGCTTTTCTCATTTCTGGGGCAAAGTACCCAACACCCAAAGGTGAAGTAGGACAGGTTTATTTAGCTCCCAGGTGGTGGAGGTTTCAGGCGTACTCGGCTGGCTCCAAGGCTGGGTGGCGCATGGCACAGGACAGCCGCTCATGGCAGTGGGAAACAGCAGAAGCCACAATCAAGGGAGAAAAATGAGCCCCTTTCTGCCCCCTGTATCTTATCCAGAGGGCTGGGATTAGGATGGTGCCAGGCCAGTCAGTGGACGGGTCTAACAATTGCCCATCCTTAATCCCACCTTGAACCAGGAATCAATCACAAACTAGATTCAGGCACCTCCTAGAGCATCTCATCTAAAAGTGCATGAGGCTTTGGGGGACATTTAGACAAAAACTGTGATACGGGGGCTGGAGAGATGGCTCAGTGGTCTAAAGCACCTACTTAGAACAAGCTTGGCAAAGCATTGGGGACCGCGGTTCAATCCCCCAGCACCACATGCCAGCCAGCCCGCCCCCTGGTGGGCTGAGCTGGCCACACA